TTATTTTTTATAATTATTATTTTAAGAGATAATAAAATCCATTATTATTTTTAGTGATGACAAAATCCATAATTATTATTTTAAGGGATAATAAGATCCATTATTATTTTAAGAGATGACAAAATCCATTATAATTGAGTGTAGTTTACCTCAACAAGTAGTTCAGCGACCTCTGCGTGCATCCTATCAATGAGCAGCTCGATGCCGCGGAGCACCTCCGCGCGGCCGCGCTGCAGCGCCTGCGCCGCGGCCGGGGGCGGAGCGCCCGCCGCCGCCGCCGCGCAGCGCGCCACCTCGCGCGCCATCGTCGTTATGAACGCCGCAGGCCTGCAAGAAGACACGTTTATAAACAAATACATATGCATCTATAATGAGACAGACGTTAACAGTCAAATCTAATAAACATTTATTAGATTCAAAATATAAACGCGAAATTTTGGATGAGTTTGTAGCCTAAACTGCTAAAGGGATCCCGATGTAATTTGGCATAGATGTAGAAGATAATCTGGATGAACAATGAGGCTACTTTTTTTTTAATTCCACACAGACGGGAAAATGCTAATTACAAAAAATTCAGACCTAGACGTGGCAATGAGTGTGAGGGCGTGCCGCGCGGTGCGGCAGCTGTCAGCCTGCGGGGTCAGTGGCAGCCCGTACGTCATCGACGGCACCAGCTTGTCCGCGTCCGAGCACATCTCCAGCAGACCTCAACACATAATACAAATATTTTATTGGTAGCTAGCTGTTCCCATGCGACTTCATCCGCATAAAATTATGAAAACTTTATTTTATTGTTTTCATGTCAAATGTCAAAATGACATGACATGACAAACCTTGACAATCTTGCTTCCTTGATGTTGGCAGCAACTTATGGTCTCTTTCCCACATTAGGATTTTATCCAAAATATTTACCTCCTAAGTTTAATGGCGTGAATATATATAGCCTAAAGCGTGACGAAGTGTAGGGCTTTTTATTCAAAAGAGAATTATTCAAAAATATGCTGTAGTTACTGACATCTTAGGCAACAAAGAAGTGTGTGTTTACGCTTTATTATATTAGTATAGAAGTATAGATAGTAATTACAAGTGTTTTATGTCAAAATTGACAAGAATGTCTGTATAGTTTTAAGATAACATATATACACATAACACATATTTGACATACAGTCATCGTTCAGAAGAACAATAACTGTATACATCAAGCATATCTTTGTGGTAGAAAAACCGTCGACACTATTCAGCTTTCTGGATAAGCCAGGACTTAGTTTATTCTTAAACCACTGGTATATGTCGTCATGTTTATAATTTCGAATAAAAGCAGCATACAGTTTGTTTTTTCAACAAGGAAGAGTTTTGTGAGAAGTTGAGAATTTTATGCTTAACAATAACGCTAAAAACTAGCAGGCACCCTCTTGTTAACGTCAAAAAACCACAAGATCCTTGTAGGTCTTTAACACTTTTTTGATGTTGACAGCTGTCAGCTGTCACTATTTTGGCTTATTCCCACGTGAGATAACTGTACCAATATCATAAAGAGAAAAGATTTTTGTTTTTGTATGTATTGAAATAACTAAAAAAATTACTGAGCCGATTTCAAAAATTCTTTCACCATTTTAATGATATTAAAAAGATTCAATGAGTAACATGTTTTTCAATTTTATGCGGCCGAAGTCGCGAGCAACAGCTTCCTTCATATATCTACAATACCTGGAATTAAAAAATTGAAAAATAGTCAACATAAAGTATGAAACAAGTGTTACCTAATAGAACATGACTGACGTCCAGATAAGGCTCCCAGACCGCGAAGCCGCGGCCGAGCAGGTCAACAGCGGCGCGGCGCAGCGGCGTGTGTGCGGGGAGCTTGGCGCTGCCCGGCGCCAGCAGCAAGTGAGTCAAAGCCAGCGCTGTCAAACGCGCCAAGTTGTTGGACGCGCTTAGTGTGAAACCTAAGTACCATAGAGAAAATATGTAGCTTTTGTCTGCAACTCCGTCAGTGCGGAATCATAGAAATAGTAACTACCCAAAACCGAAAAAGAATTCTTCCAGAATACATTCTATTTCTGTCTCTCTCATCGAGATCCGTTAAGCTAAGTATCAAAATTCCATACATCTATTTATCTAAATTAACATTGGTAAGAAGAAAGGTCAGGTACTCAGTAATTGAGAAAAATAATTAAGTAATAGATTTAATTCTAGGTTTTCCTTTCTAATTTTTCATCGTGCGAACTTTCGATATATCTAACATTTTTAAACATTATTTAAAACTTAAAAACTCATTACTCATATCAATAATCATTTAATGTAGTTTCAGTGCAAATCTCACCAAGACAAATCATTAAAATACTTCAAGTACATTAGTAAAGCTTGCAAATAAATTTGAAAAAGCACACCGAAGCAAAAGTGTCTGAACTATAAAAGTGGTTCATTTTTACAATCTTCGTGTCGTCTACTAATAAGTTACTCGTGGTCTACTAGCAGTCTAGTCGTGGTCTACTGATAGTCTACTTGTGATCTACTGGTAGTCTACTCGTGGTCTACTCGTGATCTACTGGTGGTCTACTAGAAAGCTTCTCGTGGTATACTAATAGTCTACTCGTGGACTACTGGTGCTATCAATGATACATCAATATCGCCTCACCTTCCACAATGGAACTCTTTCTACTATCGCCATCTTTACGCCGCTTGCTGCCCGCACCACCTAAAATGTTTTAAGGCACCCTAAATTATAGCAAATGAAAAGAAATAGCTAAATAATAAAGTAAAATAGCAAAGAAATTATACAATATGGAATAATGAAAAAACTGAAATATGCAAAATATGTTATTGGCGTTACCTTAAAAACAAATAAAGATTATTATGGTACTCTTTTTTTTTATAACATAAGGTGGCAAACGAGCAAGCGGCCACCTGAGTCCGGCAAAATGGCGAAGCGACCGCTGCCCATAGACATCCGCAATTGCAGATGCGTTGCCTACCCTTATTCGACTGAGGAGACGCATATAAAGAGGATGGTTGCCCTTCGTATGCATCTCCTCCTCTGTCAAATCCACTTCCCCCTCCCATCCTCTCCTTAAAAGAAGAGGGTGGTAAAGAGAAAAGGACCTAAATTAGGCCTATTAAATGTGACTCTAGCATTATCTACGTTCCAACTTACAACTTTCTCAATCATGTTATCCAAAGTACCTTCTTACCTTCACTGGCTATGTCCTGTCCAAACTCCGCGCCTATAACTCCCAGTAGCACCACTGCAGTCGTCTGTTTGCGTTTTAACTCCGCGAGAGACGATGGCTTTCGGACTATCTCCTCTTCTTCTTCTTCTGACTCTACCTCGGGCTAAATTAAAACCATTAAGAATATGTACTATTTGCGAGGTAAAAAATAATGAGTAGTATAGGTAAAGAATGGAGAAGAACAAGGGCTGGTAAAAGCTACGGCAAACGATGTCAAAGCGGAGAAACCACAATTAAGTGATTTAGTTTGAGCAAACTAGAGTTTAAACTATTTTTAGTGATCAATTAATGATTCTCAGTGCGGCAGTAAGTTAAGCCAACCTTTTCTATAGGCTCCTTTTGGGCGGCATGAGGGTTGATACTCTCCGTGTGCGTGTAGAGCGGCAGGAACTGGGCCCAGCTGTCCACTAACTGCTTACGTCCCTTTGGACCTAGTCTAAAACAAATGCGCCAACCTCATTAGCAACTTTACACTTTGACTATGAACATTTTTTCTTTAATTACAATAGAATATAATAAATAGATATATAATTTTAACTTATTTACCTGCCGAGTTCAGCCAATAGTAAAGCCTGGGAGGCATCCCGCACCTCTAAACATTGGTGTTGCCATCTACGTGCCAGCATTTCCACTTGTGGACGCTTGAAACTCTTTGCGCCTATCAAAAGCGTTATTTAAGTGTCAGAGT